AAAAAAGGTGCTAAATGTGCAACTCACTTGACTCAGCAACTCATCTTGCTCAGCAACAGAGACTCCAGCGACAATTGCGGTCATAAGTCAAGAGAAATGTTTGTAAGACGCCCCAAATCAGGAGGAGTGTGACGGGGCCTTTCCCAATAAACAAGTTTTATTAAAGAGCCCCAATTTTGTCTGCTAGAGCTAGGATCATCAGATGGGGGAGGGGCCGACTGGGGTGGGAGTTAAATAGGGCTGGGCAGGGGAGGGGAGGGGGGGCAAGAGAGGTTGGTTAGGGAGGAATTTCTCACCTTTGAACCTTGCAAGGTGTGAAAACCCCACCCAGCCTCTGTGGGGTCTCTGGGCGGCCTCAGCCATTCCTTGCTCAGAGCTGCTGTTTGCCTTGGAGATCACACATAAGAAGATATTAATTGCAAAATAAAAATAGATCAGAGGTGCGACCTCACTGTGAAAAAAGGCATCCAATGTCTGAATCGTCTTTTCTTTCTTTTTGAGAAAGTCTGTTTCTTCATCTTTAGTCTTGCAGCACCGGCCCTTCCCCAAGAAATATCTCAGTCTGGGATGAAAAGGGCTTGCAATTCCCTTTGTGCCTCCAGCTGCTTCGCCTCCTTCCTGCGGACTTCACGGCCACGGCTGCCCTCACAGCAATCTCGGTCTGTCTGCCCACTCCGTCTGCAAGCTTGGAAGGCGCTCTTCGACCCGGAGACCCCGAGGAGTGGGAGCCCCCCTCCACCGCCCCCCTGCCCAGCCTCAGCCTCTTCTCCGGTGCTCACATCGCCCGGTGGTGTCCTCGCCTCCGCTCCTACGAAGACTCGCGTGGCTGCTCTGGCCTCCCCTCCTGGGACACGCTGGCTCTCGGCTCCTCCGCTGCGCGCCCCTCGGACGCGGCTTTCCCGCCGCCGCCGCCGCCCCTCCAGCCCAGGCTCTCCAGGCCCCCCGTTTCCCGCCGGCGCTTCCCCAGCGAGCCGCAAAGACCCCGAAGGCCTTCCAAGGCCCGGGGCAGGGCCACCTTCGCCCGGCAGCTCGTCGGGGGCCTCGGCAACCAGCGCGACGCAGCTCGTCTTGAGCGCCCGGAGAAAGGCGGCTCCAGAGGTCAAGAAGCTCGGCCGGGCTCCGCTCCCCCTTCTTTCCCTTTCCAGAGTCCAGCTTCGGGGACGGGGACGGGGGAGGATGAAGTGAAGGCCGCTTGCCACTGGTTCCCATGGAAAGGCGTCTCCTGGCTACCCCAAGGCAGGCCTAGGCCTCCTCAAAGCCGGGCGCCTCCGGCCTCCCGGTCCCCTGGAGCCTTGGGGGCTTCTCGAGGACCGGCGGACTGGAGGCTGCCCTCCCTGGGGTCGAGGGGGCGGGCAAGGGAAGGCCAGACGCGAATTGGCGCCCAAGGGCACCCGGAGAACGGGGCAAATCCCGGTTCGGGGAATCCGCCTCGGGCTCTTGGTAGGCTCCCAGGTGATCGCTCCGCTTGAGCCCAGCCGCACTCCGGCGGGGAGGCTCCCAGGAGAGGGGCCGGCGCTGGGCGTCGGTTGAGCTCCCCGGGCAGAGAGTATGGGAGGCGGCGAGAGGCCGCGTCAATCCCGCAAGGCGCCCCTGGGAGGGCCTGAGCTTCCGGGTTGCCTCGACTGGGCCACAAGGATTCCGGCCCACGACTGATTCGCTTGAGCGACCATTTCTGTTCCGCCCCTCTGGCTTCCCCCCATTACAAAATCCGGAAACCAGCGGCGAGCTTTCCGGTCAACTTTAGGAGGAAGGGGCTTCACCCGCTCGGAAAGCGACCTGCGGAGGATTGTTCGGTGGGGTCGCCTGTCCCGCAAATGCGACGGAAAGCCTTGTCCCTTTCAGCGGCTCCGGCCCCTTTCCTGCTCTGCGGGGCGGTCACTCAGCCCGGCGCCTCTCCATGGCCGCCTTTTGCAAAGGGGGGTGGCGGGGGGGGAAGACTCCGAAAGAGGGCGAGGGGAACTCCGCCAGGGAGTCTCTGGGGCCCTCTAGGGGGCGCCTCTTCCGTGCTGGAGGCGACAGCAGAGACCCGGGGGGGGGCCCGCCGGCCTCCCTACAAAGATCTTCTGGGGGCTCGACGGGGAGCCGCGGCCAAGGCCTTGCAGGGGAGGGAGCGGCGGGGCTTCGAGGCTGCTTTGGGGCTTCCCGCCCCAAGGAAGAAAGCGGCAAAGCCAGGAGCCAGCCGGATCCCGGCCCCGCGTCCCCGGCGCTCGCCATTCCGCCATCCTTTCAGCGGGTTTCTGCGCCCACCTCCCTCCTCGGCTGGGCTCGGCTCCATTCAGCCGCCCGCTCGCAGGACGTTCGAATCCCCAGCATGGTAGATTTTAATTAGCCTTTGTACAGATGGCCAATTAACATTCATTACTTTTGCCTTGAGCGATTAATTACGAGTTTGGGGAGAAAAGAGCCGGAGACCCAGCGGAGGGAGCGGGGGGGGGGGCTTTCCGTGGGATTGAAGCGGGGTCCTCCCACCCAGGCCAGGCTCTTCAGGGCCGGCGCTGCTTCGCTCCGCCAAAGCTGGTCGCCGCCCTCTCGGCTGCCCTGCTCCTTCCCACATCCTGAGCTGGCGCTTCACCCACGCCTCCCCCCCCCCCCCCCCCCCCCCGGCCCCCCCCCAACCCCCCCCCGCGGGCCGGGGCGGGGGGGGGGGAATGTAGCCGCTACCGACGGAAGAGCTGCCCATCCCGCGTCGCAGCGACGGAGGCCCCCTCCCCAGCCCGGTTCCTGCCTTCCCCCCCCCGCCCCGGCACAAGCCCCCAGCTGATCTTGCCACAGTATCCGCGCCACCTGCTGCCCTCGGGATCCTTTCCGGCCAGCGTACCTCTCACCCCACGGAAGACAACTTCCCCACGCACACCCCACTCGACCCCTGCTGCCCAGTTCTCCTCCCCCGCCTGCCAAAAACAGGGGAATAATTAAATCCGCCGCTCTTGCAGGCGAAGCGAAGGAGGCCCGCCCAGCCTCCCTCCTGCCCGTTCCCGCCCCGGACTCCCCTCCGCCCCCCCCCCGCCCCTTTTCTGCCAAAGGCCGAAATTTTCGTGCAGGCTCCGGGAGCTCCCCGAGCGGCCACCTGGGAATCAAAGGCGACCCGGAGGCTCCAGTTGCCTCCATCTCCCGCTCATAGCGCCCGTTAGCGGCTGGTCTTTCTGGCCTCGGCGCCCGTGGAAGCGCTGGCCCAGCCGCGATTCGGGCCGGGCGAGGAGCGGGAGAGGGACGGAGGGTTCCCGCTCGGCGGACCCAGGCAGCCTCGTTGCCAGCTGTTCTCGGAGGGAGCCCCCAGAGCGGCTGGAGAGGGGGATGGGCAGCAGCGGCGGGGAGGCGAGGTCGCCTGGAAGCCCCCGGGGGAGGGGGGACGAAAGAGGCCCTCCTTCTGCAGGGCGGCCGGGGGCTGCGGAGGCCAATGGCCCGCGCCCCTTCCCCCCCCTTCCGCCGGGGGAGCGGGAGGTCAGAGCCAGGCTCGGCCGGGCCCCGCCAGCCCCAGAAGCGCCGGCTGCGAGGGCTTCCCGGCGGGGAGCCGGCTGCCTACCTGCCGAGCCTGGTGGCAGGATATGGCCCTCGGGCGTCGCTGCCTTCCAAATGCGCACTTTCCTGGAAGCAATATGGAGAGTCTAAATATAAGGAGCAGAAATCTGTTGAGCCTAATCAGGGCTGGGAGGCTGCCATCTCCGCGACGGCTGCGACGCCGAGCGCCGCGCAAATTGCAAGAGAGGAAATCAGGCGGCGGCGGCGGTGGCGGCATATGGCCTTGATTGATGGGCCCTTCCTCTCTCAGAAGCCGTGGGGAGCGCAGCAGAAATCCACCACCGAGCCCATGTTGCACACATAGAGACTTCTATGCTTGTCTCTCCCTGTGTGCGTCTCTCTCTCTCTCTCTCACACTCACAGACTGAAAGTTGCTTGGGCTTTATTATCCTCAGGGCCTCCTCCCCCCCCCATCCTCCTGGAGCTCAGCTGACCTCTTGATGACGTCATCAGCAGAGGGATGGAAGGGAAGAAGCCTTTCTGATTTACTTCTTTCACCTCTGCAGAGGGTGGGTCAAAAAAGTCAAGAGGGGGCTGTAAAGGTGCAATCAAAGCTTCCCCCCCCCCTTTAGCAGGGACAGGCATAAAAATGGGCTTTGATGACACCGCTGAGGCCATCATTTTGGTTTTTGTGACCATACTCTACTTCCAGCACTCTACTTCCTGTTAATCCACAACCTGGGGTTTCCTCGTGGTCTCCCATCCATGACATTGCTTCAGTTTCCCCCTCCTGTATTTGCATTTTTTCTGCCTAGCTTTGTTTGGGTTTTGCCGCTAAGCATGTTTTGGTGTTTCTGGCCCTCCTGTTTTCCCCCAAACCCAGAAGGGCTGTTGGGTGGCCATCGCATCCGTCCATGCGGCCCTTCAGAAACACTCTCAACAGAGGGTCCCCTCCCAACGGGAGACTAATGCTCATGCTCATTCGGGGCTCCGGCTGCATGGACTGGCTGGGGTTTCTGGGGCTCTTCTAAGGATGTTGGCGATAAGAAAAGGCCCATCCCAGTGGAAGCCATCCTGGGAACAAGAAGATACATTTCCTTTGCTAGCCCCTGAATTGTTCACTCCTAAACAGTCTTCATGTTTAATTACTTTTTGGGGCAGACAATGGTTTTCCATTTCTCTGAGCACTTTGATTAGAAAAGTGGGGATAGAAATTGAGTATCCCCCCCCTCCCGGGAGGGGGTGATGGAAGGCTCCATTGATTCTCTTTGAGCTGCGCCCTCCCTAAGCCAAGGAAAGCCTCATTCAGATGGACCTTTGGGAGCAGCTGAGGACAAGCCCCCCACCCAGTCTGGATGAGGCCAGGATGGGTTCCGTGGGCACCTGGAAGCCAGATGTAGGTTGGAGAGAGAATCTAGGTAGACATGGAATTCTGTTTTGTTAATCTGGTTTAGGATTTACTATGTTGTGTGAACCCAGAAAATGAATTGGATGGATGGATGGATGGATGGATGGATGGAGGATACAATGATAAAATAATGTTTAACGTGGGAAAAGTTTATAAAAGCAAAAAAGAGAAACTATACAAAGTTTTTTAAAACATACATTTTACCAGTATATATGTTTAGTACATTTCAAAATTTAAAAGTGAAATTGAGAATTTTAAACATGTACATTCAATTATTTTCATTAAAAATAGATGGAAGTTATCAGAAATTACTCCATTGATATTACTAAAAATGGAAGCTAAATATAAATAAAGCAGTTTTAATTAACCCATTTTGCTGTTGTATTATTCATCCAGTGCTGTTTCCACACTTTCAAATGCCACCGATTCAAAGAAAGACTTTGGCCTTTATATTTTTCCAGTGTTTTGGTAGAACATATCTGTCAACCATCAACAAAAATTAATTTGATTTATAGAAGGCATTTAAGAGGCTTGGCATCATCTGTAAATTATATTTATATAGTTTTTTTAATGACTTCTTAGCAGGCATTTAAAGGGAATTTTATACCTTCAGGAATTCCAGGCTGATTCCCAGTTATAATCTCAAGCTTTTCTAAAAAGAAGCTTTCAAAAGTGATAGGAGACTTTAAGTAATATTGAAGAGGTACCTTGAATTTTAAATTAGGTGGATTTATGTACGGATCTGCTCATGTTCTTGATTGGTGCCTTCTCCAAACCAGCCAAACGAATGGGGAGCCTTCCACAGCTCAGGGCCAGGGAAGCGCTTCTTTCTTGCTTCAGCTCCTTGAATTGCTGCCAAATTTCAAAGCTTTTGTTAGTTATCTTCAGGAATTGGCAAGTGGGGCAGATCCTGAACCTGTGGCCCCCAGGAATCATCTCTGGTCTAATCAAAGACGCCATTCTCTCATGTAGTGGGGGAGGGGAGGTCTGGTTTACGAATTCTTTGCTTTGTTCATGTTGGTGTGTGTGAGAGAGAGGGTGAGAGAAGAGGAGAGAAAAGGAGAGAGGAGGAAGAGAGAAGGAGGGGAGGGAGAAGAGGGGGAGGGGAGCAGAGGGAAGGGAAGGGGAGAGGAGAAGAGGAGAAGAGGAAGGAGAGATAGGGAGGAGAGGGGAGGGGAGAAGAGAAGAGGGCGAGGGGAGGAGGGGAGGGGAGGAAAAGAGGAGAGGAGAGGAAGAAGAGAGAGGGGGGGAGGGGAGGGGAGAGGATCCTGTAGTAAACCACGGCAGGGTAAACTCACTCACTTCCTCCCTGGCCTGCTGCTCTCTCAACCCTTCTGGCTTAAGGGCAAAAACCTCCAGTTAACCATTTTGGATCCACTCCCAAGGCTTAAATGGCAGCGCCTGCAAAGTGGGTCATTTCCTCCTGAGAGAGGGGGAGAAAGAGGGAAGCTCCCCAGTCCAAAGACATTCCTGGCCCAAATAACCAAGGAGCCCTTGGATCACAGGGACATTTTCGTTAGGAAAAGCAGGACCTCACCTGCCTAGGCAGCCTGGGGAAATTCACCTGTTGGTTGTCTTTTCCCACCCAGCCCCGCCAGTAAATTGGACCCGCTCCAGTTACGCCAGAAGAGCGTCCGAGCCTGGGCAGCTTTGAGGCCGCCGATTGAGGAAGGGGAGAGGCGGATGCTCCAAACTGCCACCGCCGCTTTCCCTGCTCGGATCAGCCCTGGGCGAAAGCGCTGACTGGCACCCATCGCAGCATCCGGGGGCGGCAGGGGAGGGCGGTTACCCTCTGCCCGGTCGAATCAGAGGTTCTTAGGGGGCCCCGGCCCATTGCCAGCCCTTTCTCTTCTCAGCCAGAAAGGGCGTCCTGGGCGCGGGATTGGATTTACCGGTGAGACTTCAGCCTTCGGCCTCCGTCAGGGCGACGACCGCTACCCCGCCAGACCCCGACGGCACTTGGCTCCTAAGTCAGGTCGAGTTGGGGATCTTAAAAGATTCGGGGGGGGATTCCATCGGCTGGGCAGATCACTGTTCCGATCCTGCCAGCTGCTAGGAAGCCTCTTCGGGTAGAGGTCTCGCCCAGGCCCCCAGGACGCCCTACAGCAAAGGTCACCATCGACACATCCTCAGCCCTCCGCCCCACCCGCCCCCCGGGGGTTCAAGGGCGTGAAGGCCCCGGCCTTTTTCTCCCGCAGAGGGCAGCGAGAAGCGGCCTCCCTCTGGCCAAAAACTGTTAGGCCCGGCCCGGCCTTCAGATTGGAATCCCCGGCGACAGGAGCGCCCTGCATGCCCAGCGCCTTCCACCTCCGCCCTGGCGAGGGAGACCAGCGCCCGGCCGGCCACACGAGCCGAGCCGAAGTCCGAGGACCGGCAGCGTCCAGCCGCGGCCCCGGCGCTCTCTTCTTCCCGCCTTGCTTCGGCCGGTCGCCCTGCTGTGCCCGACGGAGAGTGGGGGGCAGCTGAAGGGCCGAGGGAGCCCGAAGGAGGCTGCGTGGGGCCGGGGCTGTCACGGGGGGGGGGCAGAGGGTAAAGCCTCCGTCGCCAAAGCCCCGTCAGCCCCATCGCCCGGCTCAGGCCGCTTCCTAGGCGCTGAAGGGAGCGGGAAGCTTGCGGGGAAGACCGCCCGGGAGGGGAGCGGAGGGAGCGGCCGCCGGGCCCGCCAGGTTCTTGTTGCGTCTCGGCGAACGGGACCTGAATCTCGCTGGGCCGCTTGACGGCTTTCCCTTTGCTCGGAGCGGCGCTGGAAGGTGGAGGGCCGTTGCCCAGCGCGGAAGCGCCTCGGTTTGCTCCCCTGCCGGCAATGGCGGGAGCCCCTTTGGAGGCCGACGGGGGCTCAGCGCCCGTCGGGACCGGAGTTCTTCGGGTAACCGCCTCTCGGTGGGCCACCTAAACGGTCCGGGCTCCAGAGCCCTCCTGCGCAGCGAACGGCTCGAAGCACGGAATGCCCACGGAAATGGAGCTGGTTTGGAAGAGAAAGCGCCGCATCTCCGGCCAAGGGAGCAGAGTGGCGGGTGCGGCGCTCGTGGCATCGATTCCGGGCTCACTGCGCTCGAAGAGAGCGGCGTTTGCGCGGAAACGGTTCCTGTGAAAAATACCGACTTCCTGAAAAGACGTATTATGTGTGCCTGCGCCGTATTTCTATTAGAGAACCTTCGATTCGTTGGATGAGAGGAGACCTCCGAGCTCTTCTGGTCCAGCCCCCACCCACCCAGCGCAGGGACCCTCAGACCCTCCCGGACAAAGGGCAGCCCAGGGTTGGGACCGCATGGCGTCCCCGGCTGGCTCTGCGTCGTTTTCCTTCCAGAACCTCTCAGGCGGCGGCTCGGCATGAAATTTTCGGGTCAGCCGGTTTCACCGGGACGCCTCGGAAAAGTCGGCAGCCCCTTTCCCGCTAAGCCGCCGCCCTTCGGCCCCTGGAAGAAGGCAAGAGGCAAGAGCCTCCGGCAGGCAAGAGGGGCTGCGACCCGCTGTTAGCCGGGAACTCCAGAAGCCGCTTCCGTTCGGATCCCTTCGTCTCCCCAAATCTTTCTGCCCCTGGAGACCCCTGCCTAATCCCGGCCGCCCGGAAAACCGGAGCCAGCCGCCTCTACGTCTCTCCCTGGCGCCCTGAGGCGGCAGCCAGGGCGGCCGCCGGCAGAAGAAACAAATTCTGGATCAGACGTTCCGGTTGGGCTTGTCATCCACTACCCGGGCCGGAGCAGGGGACAAACCCCCGCTGGAGAAGCCGCTCGTTGCTTCGCTGCCCGAGAAAGAATGAGCCCGACCTCGGCGGAGAAATCGGCCTCTTCGCGAGACGGACCGTCGGGAAAGGGACGCCAAGGCCTCGCAAGAAAAAACCCTCCGGCCGCGGCGATTGCGGAGCCAAATGCCCCTTCGGTCCGTCCACATAACCGGCGCAGCCAGAGCGGCCTCGGCAGGCGCAGTGGGGCTCAGCCTCAATCCTGGTGGCGGGAGCAGCTCCCATGTTTTGCGGAACGGGGGTCCTTCCCCGCGGTCACAACGCGCGGCTTCCTCCACCACCCTCGGGAGGCCAGCGAGGAGCTGAGCAGGCAAGAATCGGGCCCTTCCAGGCTCCACCAAAGGCCACGACGGGAGCCTCCCCGGGAGCCATGGCCGGGGCTACTTACCAGCCAGCTAGCCTGCGCCCCAAACTCCTTCGAGGCGCTGTCTGGGATTGGAGGGTCTCAGGTCTTCGGAGACGGACCGAGGCGGCCGTTCTCTCCGGCAGCGCCGCTGCGAACCTTGGAGGGGCCTTCGCTGGCTCCGGCTTGGCTGGCGACCCACACAGCTGCTCCAACCCTTCCAGAAACTGCGCGAAAGCCGACGGGGGGCGGGGGGGGGAGCTCCGTCGGGGCTTGGAGAAGGTCCTGGTGGCCTCAAGGCCCCCGGGAGCCGCCCAGGGGTTTTCGGCTTCGGGAGCCGCCCTTCTCCTGGACCGGGCGGCGACCGGGCCTGCCCTCTCCTAGTCTGGGCCGGGGGACTGGCTGCGAAGAGCCCGGGCGGCCAGCCGATCCCTCCCTCTGGCTCGCGCGCTCGCTCTCGCCGCCCGCCTGCCTGCCTTCCTTCTGGCAAGCGGGAGGGCGGGGCAGCGGGGGCGGATCCGGAGCTCAGCGCAGCCTCCCGGGCGCTCCAGTCCGCCTTTTGGCGGCGACCCCGCTGCCTCCTCCCCTCCGCCTCCCTCCCTCCGCCTTTCCCACGTGCCCTCCCCAACCCCGGGGCAGGTGAACCTGGCCAATCAGAGGGGCGGGCCGCAGGTACCCGGCTTATCTGGACGACTAGCCAAGGAGCGCGCCCACTGCGCACCGGGTGGATGGGGTGGGAGGCGGGCGCGCGGGTGAACCACGGGTGGGAGTGCGGCTGCCACCTCCCCAGAGCCGCCGCGCCCTGCCCGGTCCAGCGCGCCCGGATCTGCTGCCGGATCGGGCCGGTTGCGCGCCGAGCCCGACGTGGCTCCCTGGTGTTCCCGCGCCCGGGTCCGCCTGAGCGCCGCCCTCGCCCGGCCCTGAGCCATGTTCCAGCCCGCGGCGGCGGCCAAGCGCTGCTTCACGATCGAGTCCCTGGTGGGCAAAGACAATAGCCACCCGCTGGCAGAGGAGTCTCTCCGTCCCGTCGCTGCCGCCGCCGCCGCCGCCGCCGCCCTCGGATACCCGGCCAGCGCCGCCGTCGAGGCCTTCGCGCACGGCTTCCAGGGCTCGGCCGCCGCCGGGCGTTCGCTCTACGGCGGGCCGGAGCTGCTCTTCCCGGAGGCCGTGAGCCACCCGCCTGCCCTGGCCGTCCACCCGCCGCAGCTCGGCTCCTCGCACCTGCCTCCCTCGCCGCACCCTTTCTTCGGCCCGCAGCCGCGCGACCCGCTCAACTTCTACCCCTGGGTGCTGCGGAACCGTTTCTTCGGGCACCGCTTCCAAGGTAAGCCAAGCGCGGCCGCCTCCGGGGAGCAGAGGGCACGCGCTCGGGGCCCTTCAGCGCCGGCTTTGGCGCTTCGGAGTAGCGCATGGAGTGACCGTAACCGCCCGGCCAAAGCCCGGCCTGGAGTTCGCGGTGGGTCAAAGCTGTGCCAGGTGGCAGCCGAGCCCGCCCGGCATGGAGGGGAAGCGAATCGCGATCCGGGGGCGGCCAGGCGCCGGGAGAAGTTCCCGCTGGCCAGAGGCAGCGCCTTTTCCCACCGGTCAGGGGCCCAGCGGGACTTTGGCAAAGGCTGGGCCGTGTTTCTGATCCCATCAAGGCAGCCGCGGCCTTTGAGATGGCTTGGCACAGCTACCTCTCTCCCGTACGGGCCTGTGGCGACCGGCACGGGCCTCGGTGCCCGCGGGAGGGGCGTTGCGATCCAGACCCCCCCAAGGTGCCCCTGGCAGGCAGCGATGGCGCCCTTTGAACCCTCTTCCGAAGTCCACCCCGACCCCGGGAGTTCTGTAGCGGCAGGAGCAGCCGCGGGTTCAGGAGGCAGCCGGAGCCGGTCCTGTCGTCCCGCCAACTGCTCGCTTTGCCCTCCTTCGACCCGAGAAGGCCCGCTGTTCAGACATCTCTAGGAGGGAGGTGCAGGGGGGCTCGGTGAGGTCGCGGCCTTGCAGGGGCGAAGAGGTCGCCCAGCGGCAGGGAAGGCCCTCCCCGCCGTCTCCTTGCTGAGCCCCGCAATCCCTGCTCCGGCGGGGAAGAACAGCACCCGGTAAGGAGAGGGAGCCACGGCTGCTTCGGCGCCCCGCAACGGAGCGATCTGGATCCGAGCAAAATCCGTGGAGATCCGTTCAAATACTCTTCGCGGCGGAGAATTGTCTGGTCCTTCTCCGGCCTCGGTTGGGGGCTGCGCTGGCTTGGGAGATGAGGCGGTAGATACAACATTCTGAGTATGGGGAAGATTCCGATTTCAAATGGGCGCTGAGGAATCACAGCCGATTCTTGCGATCCGCCGGGTTCCGACCCCGCGAGGGCGGGGAAAGGGACCACCGGCGAGTGCAGACGGGTCCTTGATGGTCGTGGAGAAAGGCCGCTTTCCTTCCAGGAAGGTTTGCGATTCCAGGAAGCCTTTTTCCCGAACAGAGGCTCGTTATAGTTTCCCGGTGGTCTGAAGGAGAGATCCGGCGGCCCCGGGGCGGCTCCCCTACATCCTAGCGGAAACTGGCGCCGATCCGTCCGTCTCGTTTTAAAGAACGGCAGCCTGAACTCCGCCAGGAATTCTCCCTTGCACTTACATCCATCCATCCATCCTTCCTTCCTTCCTTCCTTCCTTCCTTCCTTCCTTCCTTCCTTCCTTCCTTCCTTCCTTCCTTCCGAGAGGAGACTCTCTTGGTTGCTTGGAAGGCTCCGCAGGCACAACCCAGGAGAAGAGCGGCTCTCACGGCCCGCAGGGAAGGCCGGCCCAGGCACGCCGGACTTTCCGCCCGGAAAGCCTCGCTGGTATCGGCGAACAGCAGGCGGTGCGGGGCCTTCATTCCAGCCGCAATTCGGCTCTTTCTGAAGAAGGTAAAATGGTTGCAGGGAAACGTAGCCCGGCAACCCCAAAGCCCGCGGGACGCTCCCGTGGGTAAAGGAGAAGCTTGGAAACGAGTTCGAGGCTCGCAGGGCCGGGAAGCCTCTCCGGCCGCGTCCGGCTCCCTCTTTATGGCCTAGCAGCGGAACCGGCGGCGGCGAGCAGAGCCTGGCCCTAGCCCCCCTTCGGGCCCTACACACACACACACGCGGTCGCTGGAGCCAGGGTCGCCTCGGGTTTTCCCGGGAAGCTGCTAGGCCGCGGCCTGGAAGAAGCGCCCCTTCAAGGCCTCTCTTCGTCGGCCAGGAGGGCAGAGCAGGGGAGCTCTCCCCGCCGCGGTCCGGGCAAGGGGCAAAGGCGGGCCGAGGGAATGCTCCCAAAATGCCAGCCAGTCCGAGGAGGTGCCGGGCGTGGACGAAGGGAGGCTCTGCTTTCCCGCCCTTCCCTTCCCCTTCCCGTTGCCGTTGTACCCACCCGCCCCCTTGCCCGGTGTGCGCGACCCTCCCCAAGTGCCCTCCTGGAGGAAGCTTCTTCGCCCGGCTTCCCGGAGAGCCTCCTGCGGGTTCGGCCTCCCCTCCTGCAAGCCAGCCGCTCGGAACAGACTTGGAGGCAGCCTTCGCGGGCTCGGCCTCCGCCGCGCTCACCGGTTTCGGACCGAGAAAGCGATTCTCGCCTGGCCTGCTTGGCGGGTCCTCGGAGAAGGAGGCGGACCTCGCCCACCCCAGCCAAGAGCCGGTCCCGGGGAAGTCCACCTGTCCCGCGGCCGAGCTTCCTGCAAGTCCCGGGCGGGGCAAGAGGCTTTTGGAGCCCCCGTCTTTCTCGGCGGAAGGCAGAACGCGGGGCTGCGCTGGGCAGAGGGAGAGAGCGCCACTCGCCCAGAATTACCAGCTCCGCCCGGACTTCTCTTCGGAGTAGTAGTAGCTCGGGGGAGAAAACGCGTTGAGAGCAAGGCCGAAGCCAGCTTTCCAACGGTGGGGAGCCGAGGGCTGGAGATGCTGCTTTCCAAATCGGGCTCTTAAAGCAGGAAAGGGCGCCTGAGCCGAAGGGCGCTTCGCAGCGCTGAACCCGGTCATTCCCAGGCCCTGCAGGGTCTTTGTGCAAACCCAAACCGGAGGCCAGGCTTGTGGAACCCGCTCCCCTCCAGCCCTTGCGCGAGCACAGCCTGAGGGGGGGGGGCATAAATTCAGCCACTCCCTTACTTAGGTGGACTCAGCCTTCCCTCCTTCCGAGGTGGGTAAAATGAGGACCCAGATTGTTGGGGGCAAAATGCTGACTCTGTAAACTGCTCAGAGAGGCCTGTAAAGCACGGTAAAGCGGTATATAAATCTAAGTGCTATTGCTATTGCTACTTTGGGGAGGTTGCCCCACGCAAGACCGAGCCACTTGCCAGGACAGATCTCGCCTGGTGACCCCTTGTTTGCCTTCCTCAAAATGTGCGGGGGGGGGGGCGAAGTACTCGGCCACTTCAGAGAAGTGGAGAACCCTTCAAAGGGTAGCCCTTCCATCTCTTTCCCGGCTCCTCCCGCGCCCTAAAGAGAGGGAAGAGCTTGTCCTGGCTGCCAAAGGCAGCCGCAGCTCAGTCTAGTTCAGGACCCCGGAGAGTTGGTATCGACCCTCCCTTTCACACACACATCCCCCAGAACTGGGCTCCGCCGTTCCCTTCCCACAGCCCTTTCCCCGTGTAAATGTTGGCTCTTTCCTTCACAACGTCCTGACAAGGTAGGCCTCCTAGTAACTCCACACGGTTGTCTAATTGCTTTCGGGGAAGACCAGCCGAAAGCTCTGAGGAAAAAGCGCTCGGGGCAAGGGCACCTTGCTTTGTGGCCGCCTCGGGTCCCGGGGAATTGCAACAAAGGGGGGGCGCCTGGTTTCTGATCTAGAGCCAGCTTTTGGGCGCCCAGGATTCCCATCTCCTGCCCCTTCCCCTGTTCCCTCCGCCGAACGGGAAGTTAGGGCGGAGGGTGGGCTGAAACGCGGAACTCTTACACCTGGGTGCTGCCTCCCCTTCTGCCCCTCTTTCGGCCCTTCGGAAGGGGGCAGCAACCGCCTAGGACCCGCGTCCCGCCTGAATCCCGCGTTTGCCTGTCCCGCAAGGAGTGGCGGCTGGAGGGGGATTGGAATGGGGTCGCCCGGCTCCTGAGAGTACGGAGGCCCGCGGGCGCCCGTGTAGCAGCTTCGTCCGGGGTCGCCGAAGGGTCTGACGGGGTTGATCCTGGGCGGCGGGCGCTGACCTGCTGCTTTCCCTCCGCAGGCGGCGAAGTGTCCCAGGAGAACCTGCTCTTGCACGGGCCCTTCGCCCGGAAGCCGAAGCGCATCCGCACCGCCTTCTCGCCCTCGCAGCTGCTGCGGCTGGAACGCGCCTTCGAGAAGAACCACTACGTGGTGGGCGCCGAGCGCAAGCAGCTGGCCGGCAGCCTCAGCCTCTCCGAGACCCAGGTGGGCCGTGGCGCGGTACGGGGGGCGGGGCGGAGGGCACGGGGCCCTTCAGTGCGAGGCAGCACCAGCGAAGGCCAAGGAGGTGAGAGGCCGGGAAGGTCCGTTTTCTCCAAAGACTGAAGCTGCGAGGGAGACCGCCGCCGGTTGCCCCCGCGTGGAAGTGGCCGCCTCGGTCCCCCCCATCCCACGGAGCCCTCTTCCCTTATGCTGTTGCTGCTGTCATTCTGTGCAGCATTCAGCCTTAATCGCTTGCTTCCCGAGACCTGATAAAGTTATCCTCTGAACATTTGGCTCCTCACAACCGCCAGTGAACCAGAATGACTAAACTATTTATCAGTCATTCTAAAGCCTTCCTTTCCTGTACACTTTTGAAATAACCCAACTCCTTAAGGTCAATTTCGCTAGTGAATTCATAGGTGAGACCAGGTGGGGAGCAGGGTGGCTGATTTAACTCTTCTGGCCTCAGAACGGATCTTGCCTCTTCAAACTTTTTCTGGTTCCTGCCAGACTCACCAGCAGTGTACAAAAACTATGTAGATCTGAGCACATTTCTCTGAAAACCGAGGTGTGAACTAGAAACCTTCTCTTGGGTATTTTAAGTTGATGCTGTCCTTGCCGTCAGTCCCCTCTCGGGGGCCTTTCCCAGCCCTTGGCGGAGTCACGGCAGGAGGAGCGCCCCGTTTGGAGGGAAAAGTTGGAGCCCGTAGATCCCCAGTTATGTTTCCCACAGAGGTGGAGAAGAGCTGTGTGTCAACGCGTGTGGATGCGTTCACGTGTGTGCAGATGTAAACATTGGCTTGGGCGAAGAGGCTACAGCAGGGAGACTCCGGAAACAAAATAAAAGTTACGAAATGGTTCGGGATGAAACTGAAGCGAGGGAGCGTTGAAAGGAATAACTAGAAACACGGTCGGGACTGTTGCTGAGATGCCAGAAAACGGCAAAAAGGGAAAAATCTTTGGTATGGCTACTGTCCAAGGGGGGGAAACCGAACAGCAAGTTATAAATATGGTGAGAACATTGAAAAATGGTAACTGCAGGTTTAGATGGTGTGAGTGGAAAGAGGGACGGCTGCAACCATGGCTGACAATTGGGTGGGTGGGTGGGGGAGAGAATGCTATTATCGGTTCCCTGCGCACCTGGAAAGGGAGCAGGACGGAAGGCAGAAGCCAAGGGGAGGCGGGATGTGTCCCGGAGGGTGTTTGGAAGAATTCTGCCCAAGACGCAGGAGGGGGGAAAGCGGGGAAAACAGGTGGCGCAGAGCCGAATTTGCTGTTCAGCGGGTTGCTGGGAAATGCAGGAACGTGAAAAATACAATTTGTGCGAAACTTGTGGATTGCGACAAAACCCCGTCGCTAAATGGAGCAGGCTTCCGTCGCGAACCCTTTTGCACCACTACGGAGCTGGAGGTTGCTGCTGAGAGAGAGGCGGTGGAAGAGAAGCGTGCGTGTGCGCGGCTAAAGGAGAAGCTCGCGAAGGGTTCGGTGCCCAGGCGGAGGTGTTTGGTGTCCCCTTCATTCTTTCGTGTAATTACAGATAAATGCAGAGGAAACTCTTGTGGTGGAATTAAGAAGCTCGTGGTTGGAGACACGAATTGTGCTCGTATTTCTGCACGCAGATGAGGTGAACTTGTTGAAGGACTTGCAGTGAGTACAGCGAGGAATCAGCAATTCACTACCTGGGAAACCAAGGCTGCGGGTTGTTTAGCAGGGAAAATGGAGCGAGCAACGGCAGGTTGCACGAAAACAGCAGTCGGAGGCAGGAGAGGATGGCGTGTTCTCCAAAAGGGGGAAATAGCTGGAGAAGGTTCGGGTGGAACCCTCGCGGTTGTTCGCGGGAGGAGTGAAGGGTTGTGAAAACGGGGGTGGATCAGAGGGTACCCCAGGCCGTTTTTCTAAATATGAGACATCAATAAAAGCTGGAAGGTTAAGCAGAAACAGAATAAATACTGGAGACTTGGATATGGGAGATAAAAGGGATTGGACCGAGTCATGGAATATTATTTTGACTGCAAAGCGAATGATCTGGGCCAAAGAGATCTCCGGAGGGTTAGGTCACCGAGAGAAAACAAGGGAAGAGACAGAGGCCGGCAAGGGGGAAAGGTTGGGAGCGGGGCGGCGCTGAGCGCTCCAGAGGAGGAGAAGTTTGGGGGAGACGGAGCGGAGAACCAAACGGGGGATCCAAGCGGGGCATCGGAGCCCTGGAAGGAGGAGGAGGTTTTGCCAGGATAGGAAGCTACCGAGGGGTATTTGAGGACTTCGTATTAATCTAGATGTAGCTGTAGTTGCTTTTCTTTTTCGGCATAATTTTCTGTCTCACTTTTACCGACTCGCTTTCTTCACTCAATACCCATATTGCTTTCTCTGGAATGGAGCAGCATGATGGGTACTTGGGTGCACACGGCGCCTACATGGGAGAGGGGGCTGTAGGGTAAGTTTCCTGGAGATCCATGTATGTATGCGGCACGAGGGGGGTGGATGACAAGGCTTGTGTGACGGCGCCTTTATACGAACACTGTGGCAGAGGAAAATTCATGCTGGCACCAGATGCCCGTAGGTGCCATTATTGGGAGGCCGGCAGGGTTTCTGGGGTGCCTTTGCTGTTTGTCAAGTCCGCAATGGCCTGCCGTGGTTTAGGAACCCCTTAGAAAAAGGGGCTGTTTGCGGTGTCTTGTGAGATGAGGAGGTGCAAGGGCTGAAGGAGGAGTGGCCCTTTGGGGACCCTTTTCCGCACAATGGAAGTGGCCGGAGACCAGCAGATGAATGTCATCATAAACTGTCCTGGGCGGAGGAGCCTAACTGGGCTTTCGTTCTGTGCTCCTTCCCCACCTGCTTTGGGAAAAGAAGACCCACCTCGCATTCCCGCCCCTTTGTCTTCACGAGGCGGCCAGGGGCTCCCCGCGGCCCCTCCACCCAACTCTCATTCTTGCCCAGATTCAGGGAGACCCTCCCTTTGCCCCCCCGTCAAAGAAACCGGCCTTGGTCTACTCAGAAGACTTGGGGGGGGGTCAGCAGCCTGTCAGAGGGGTCCACGGTGAGCGGACATTTCTGGGGACCCCCTGAGGGGTTTCGCAGCGTCCGGCGGAAGGGGCTCCTTTGTCCGGAGCCGAATAAACTGCCTCGCTGTGTAAAAGCTGACCGGAGAGCGGCCGAGAAGAGCAGAAATGCTCCCCAAAGGTGCGCCTGGTTGAGAGTCCGGCGGTGGCTCCACCGGGGTGGGGGGTGGGGGTGTAAGGTGATCCGCGTCCCCCTGGCGGTAAGCGCGGCTGGAGTAAGCAGGTGTGTTTTGGGCAAATGGTGTAAGTAGCAAGAGTTGGGTTTCAAAACAAACGGCCCCCATTGAAAGGTCTTTAAGCTTTTCCTCTGGAGGAAGCGACCCCTTCGGAGGCCGGGGAAGAACACGAGGCTCTTGGTCTGGAGGGGAGGGGAGGGGGGGCAAGGCCGGGGAAAGATCCCCAGGAAATCAAAGGATGCAACACTCTCTGTTCGTTTAGGTATTTCTCGCTCGCTTTTTAAAAAAATGCAGGATACGCCTCAATTATCATCCTGGTTCACAGAGCTGAGCATTTATTTTCCCGCGAGGCCAAGATTGGCAGATGTTGGGGGGGGAAGGGTTAGACTCCAGCGGTGCTTCTTAGGTCCAAGGACTGCAGAGCGTTCTGTGTCGCACATACACAACGCTCGGGGGGGGGGAATCAAGCTTTCTGGGGCTCGAATTTTACATCTCCTCCGACCAGCTTAGTTGCACTAAGGCTCAATTTGACTTATCTGCTCCCTCTCAGAAATTGGCTGGAAACTGGACCACAGATTTTCCTTCCCATTTCAGTCACGGGGTTGTGGGGGAGCAGACTCACTCAAAAGAGGTTTTGGAGGTCGATGCGATCCTCAGCCTCTGGATTGCTTATTTTTGATCTCAAGACACCCACCTGTGGGCGTGTCTGTGTATTCATGTGCAGATAGGCCCAAAGCATTCTGGAAGGGAACAAAGGCAATATTTGTTTTTTTAGAAGAAAAGGTTTTTGTCAGGCTTCTTGTTTCTTTTATTGCTTTATGCACAAAATTTATCTGCTTTTTTTTAATCAAAGAAGAGGGAGGGAGGGGTTCACCTGTATGCTGAGTTCCTGGGGCAGGGAAGTCTCCTTGGATGGACCAAGGAATACGGTGAGGTACAACAGTTTTCATTTGGGGTTGAGAGCCCTGTGCTTTCTATTAAGGGGGGCGGGGGCTGATCAGGCTGGTTTGGAAACCTTTTAAAGGAAACTTTGTACCAGAAAATCCTCCTATTTCCTCCTTCCCTGCCTCCCTCAGGGAGTAATGTTCCCTTATTACTGAAGGGCAAATGAGAGCCGCAGAGCGGTAGTTGACCCGCAGGCAGTCTTCCCTTCGGTCCTCCCTGACGGAGGAAGAGCTGTGCAGCAGCCCGGAACCCCCAGTGCCGCTTTGCTGGTGACCATTAAGGGGAGTAAAATGTGAAAACAGAAACTGGCAATTCCGTAGGTTTTTTTAAAGGTAATTTAATGGGTACTTAGAACGGAGCGGAGCGTAACCATTTAAAACAGAGGTCATTATGATAGATTATGTGCAGAATAAATACCAAACTAGGAAGTACCAGATAGCTTTTAGTTGAATGTTGTGTAGAAATGTATAGTACACAGCGGGGTGAATAGAAGGGCAGTAAAGTATGATATGATATAAAATGATTTGGATTTGGATTTGATCTTGGGGAAGTCATGGGAGGAGGGGAGGGTTAGGGAAGGAAAGGGGGGGGGGGAATGGGAAAATTTGTATTTGTAAAACTTTTTCAATAAAAAATAAATAAATAAAAACAGAGGTCATTTATGGTGAAAACAAATAGAAAACAACCTTTTGACCAATGCCAGGAAAAGAAACTCTATAAAGGAGAACGTTTGTGGCTCCTGGGTGCTCTCTGAGCTTGCTGGCTTTCTTGCAGACGGTTCATTCCGATGATGTTACCCAGTTAGGATCATGAAACCTCTGCAAGAAAATCAGCAAGCTCAGAGAGCACCCAGGAGCCCTCAAAAGAAAACCTTCCTTCACCTTTACCCTTTTCTTTGCAAAAACAAAAAAGTGCAATTCTTCCCAATTTGTCCCTTAGCACTCTGCCACAGGGAGCTTTGTGGCTGGTGCTTTGGACATGTCTGGCTTCTGGGTAGACTGCTCTGAGCTGGGGAGGGAAATTGCTTTCTGCAGGGCTGTCACAGAGTACCATTCCCAGCGTCCCCCCCCCCCAGAGCTCCACCAGCAGGGACTCCTCCAGCTCCAGCCCTGCCGCCTTTTTCCTTCTTTTTCCGTCTTTCCCCCCCTTAGGCACAGGTTGACTCACTGCGGTTTATCCAAGAATTTTTGGAGCAGACTAGGAGGGTCCCTTATTTCATTGGCATCCTCTTCCTCCTCCCAAAACAAGTCAGAGGAGTGAAGAAACTCCACTGGGGATTAAATGATAGACAACGGAATAAAATGATGTAGAAATAGTCCTCCATTTACAACAGTTCATTTAGTCACTGTTCTGACAGCACTGAAAAAAAGGTGACTTATGACCATTTTTCACACTTACGACTGTTGCAGCATTCCCATGATCACATGATCAAAATTTGGACGCTTGGCAACTGATTCCTATTTATGACAGTAGATCATCCCACAGTAATGTGACCCCCTTTGGTGACCTTCTGACAAGCAGAGTCAATGGGGAAGCCAGATTCACTTAACAACCAGGTTACTAACTTAACAACTGAAATGATTCAGTGATTTACAAGGTCGTAAAATGGGGTAAAACTCACTGAACAACTATCTTGCTTAGAAATTGTGAGCTCAATTTTGGTCACAAGTCAAGGACTACCTGTATTATCTGCCATTGTCACAATTAACTCCTGGGGACCACATCCTCCAGGATGATCTGCCCAAGGCTAATCCTGAGGTCCCCCAAGGTCGCCCCCCTCCCCATCATCATTCGAACTGAGTCCAGCCCCTTTGCTGCCAGTCATCCTCTCCTCCTCTTTCCTTCCTCCTTTCCTTCCCAGCCTCTGAGCCTTCTGCAGAGAGAGCCAGGCCTTGGTCGAATGAGTCTGAAGGAGGCTCATTGGAGCCACATCATTTGCGCCTCCAGTGAGAATTCCGAGTTCATTAAAGAAAACAACACAATGCAAACCTTTATTGTACCAGCATTTAAATTATCTATCAGAACGAAAATAATTGGAGTACAATTTTTATGTGGAAAGCTTTCATTGCTATTCGGTTTGGTACATTCATTGCTGTTGATAGGGTGTTCCATATTTTTGTGATATGTTCGTGTTGGTTGTTATTTAAACTCCAGAATAGGCTCCAGAACTATGGCGAGAAATGCCTGCTGGGGGGAGATTGATCAGTGGGTCCGGCTGGGATGAGTAATCTTGGGCTAGGAGTGAGATCACCCACAGGAGGGTGTGTCAAAACATCCAGATATGCTGCAATTGAGTGTGTGGCTGAAATTCTGCCTCCTTTTCATGTATGTTGACCGTGTGGGCACCAGAGCCCCTTGAGTACTGGATCCCTCTGAGGATGCCTTGAAAATAAACTTGGGATTTGAAATGGAAATTGAAGCAGGATTCCTGTCCTGCAAAATCCGTTGTCTTTTAAAAATAGGGAGATGCTTAATAGTGTCTATCAATGTTTTCTTGGGCCCCGGCAGTCATCTCTGACTGCAGCCCCTCCAAGAATCTCTCTTCCAAAGCATCTGCAAGAGGGGCCCTCAGGGAAGAGTCCACCGTAAGAAGGAAACTTCCAGTTTGACTCTGATGACGTTTCATTCAGTTATGCCCCCATTCTGGCGTTTGGGTGGGGAGAAACCTGTCTTCCTTCCACATCTTCTCTGCATGAAAGGCCTCAGGCATTTCCAGGCCCCTCACACCTGCCTGTGGCAAGGGGAGGCCCCGACAGCCCTTCTGGCTCTGCCAATGTTGAAACTGAAGCCTGGCATGCAGGCAAGAGGCATCTCTGGTTCTCTTGATGGGTTTGGCCACCTGAGGGCACCAAAGACACTTCCACGTGTGACTGGCACAGGCCTGCGAAAAGGATGCTTGGGAGGGGCCACGCCAATCTTCCAGGGCAAGATTTTCCACAGGGAGAGAGTCGGATTAGAGTGGTGGGGACCCCCCCCCCAGGTCCTCTGCATGCTTTGGAGCCCATCTGTAGGAGGAACCGTGCAGCTGCCACAAAAATCAGGTATGTTCCTGAGCAAGATGGCTGGCCTTAAGTCCCCCTGCAGCAGCTCTCATACTGTAGGAAGTTAGCACTCATCCCTCTCCTAGAAGAATGAAATATTTTAGGAAATATTAAAAAGGCAGAATATTATATTTCCCTGGATGAGAAATGGAGAAACATGTTTTAATGACAATGCAGCTCCCTGTCCCCCCCACCTTTGTCAATGGGCCATTAAGGCTTCAGCTGAGCTCATTCATTTCCCTCCATGTTTGTCAATGGATCATCATCTGCAACACAATAGGACCCATCTAGCAACAGAAACTCACCACATGGCAAGACTCAAGCAAGCTTGGGAGACAGCCTACAAAGTTAGCTAAGACCCCCGTCCCCTGGGAGTCTCACAACCAATCAGGGTACATTTCTTATACAGGAATAAAAAATTCTGAGGTGGGGCACAACAGAGGGCATAAAACCAAGTCACTCCCAGCATCTTGCCCCTTTTTTTCTACTCAGGAACTCAAGCCATGTGATTCCTGTTCACCATTAAACCATCTTTCCAAGTAGTCTCCATATTTCCAATGTCTTTTTCCCCACTTGGAACGGAACCCAGATGGACATTTCTTCCAACAATACCTTTAGAGTTAGGCAGAAAAGAGAATCCTCTGTGTGTGTGTGTATGTGTGTGTGTGTGTGTATCAGCCAGCAGAGCTTCCTAGAACAATTGGAGCCACCAGGAGCGTCCGTGTGGGGCTCCATGGCCAACAAACTTGCAAGAACTTTGTATGTTGGGGACCAAAATGGCTCTTTGGGGCACATTCATGCAAGACTCCCCAGGGGGATTTCAAAATGGCAGCCAGGAAACCCCATGGCTGGAAAGGGACGTTGAGGGTCTCCGCAGCCATTACAAGCGGGATGCCTAAGAGAGGCCAGTCGAGTTAGAAGAATAGGATGATGCAGAATTGCCATGGATGTCAACCAAGCCCTACAAAAGTCATTTCTTTCCAGAGTTCCTTCTTTGCTTGATGCCCGTTTGCATTTGGATTCTCAGATTTTGTGCCCTTTTGCCGTTTTCCTGAAGACGCTCCTCGGGGTCTTCTGATGCAGCTGCTGAGGCACACCAGTAAAATCTGGGGATGGGTCTGATCTGTGCCAGAGGTGTTGTCTTAGCCCCAGATCCAAACATTTTCAAAACCACGCCTGTTCTTACACGTCAGCTAGTTTCTTGGGAATCCTTCATGCCTTTCCTGGTGGGCAGTTTCTCAAACTGGTCAAAATTCTACCAGATTCTGGACAACATTTAGATAAAATTCACCAGGTCTGTGTTACCATTGTCTTCCTTTGTGTGACCTACAGGTGTGTTTTCCTATTGAAATGTCTCTGTTATTCATGAGACTTTTTCTTTTAATGCCAAGTCAATTTAATTTCCATCCCCAGAGTATGGGTGGTGTGCGAAGTCTCGACAGGCATTTCCACCCTTCAGGAATCTACTCTTGGTCTCTCGTGAACTTTGCCAGTCTCCACAACTTCCTCTCTGCTACATAAGTGACAGTGGGGGGACCGTCTGCATTTGTATTTGCACTTTGAGCCACAGCACGTGAACAGAGTGGGCCGGTGCTGTTCTTACCAGCATTCTGATAGGCCCTTTTTTCTTTCACTTCCCTGCCAAGTCCCAAACTTGGATGAATCCATCTTGATGTTAGAGGCTATGAAATGTGGAGAGCAACAAAATTGGTTGTGTATGTATGTGCCTGTATATGTGTGTGTATGCACAAAGACACATGTACATATATTCTACACTTATATAAACGGCAACACAAATTCTGTTCTACTGATAGATGGGACTTTTTTGGGGCTGTGGCTCTCGTCCCTGTGCATTAGGCAGGCAGCCCCTTGTTTAAGGCTTTTCTCCCTCTGAACTGGAGGCTTCTGGAAGCCCCGAACTCTGCTTCAGGCCTCTTCTGCCAAGATGGCCCCAGCGGCCCTGGCTCCCCCAGGAGAGGAAGGCTCCCTTGTGGCAAAAGCAGAGTGGCCGGCTGTGCTTTTGTTCCGGTCCTTTTGGCTGGTTTTAGGTGCCTCTTTTCAAGGTATAACTTTGATCCTCTTGGAGAGAGCGGTGAAGGATGAATATGCTTACAGCAATCAATAAGTACCAGATCTCTGGCGCTTCAGTTCAGAGACCGTGAGCACGTGAGCGTTTGCGCAAATCAGGACATCAGAAAATGCTTCTCCAGGTTTGCAACTGCTCCAGTCTAGTTCCCGAGAGGGCCTTAACTTTTTACCTTTCCTTTTCTACTCTCTGTCTCGTCCAGGTGAAGGTCTGGTTTCAAAACAGAAGGACCAAATACAAAAGGCAGAAACTGGAAGAAGAAGGTCCCGAATCGGATCAAAAGAAAAAGGGATCCCACCACATCAACCGATGGAGGATTGCCACCAAGCAGTCCAACACGGAGGACATTGATGTCACGTCCAACGACTAGCGAGAGGCGGGAGGAGGCGGCCACTGGCGAGCAGGGCCGAAAAGGACCGTGTGGGAAAGCAAGGACTCAATGGAGATCCAGCTGCTCTCCCCTCCACCAGGGGTGCCCCCTTCATGGGGAATCGGGGGGAGCCTAAGGATGATCTAGGAAATCCCTTCTCTCCTGCGATCTTGCCCGCTGCCTAGCTGCCACAGGGCAGACTGGGGAACCGTGGGACATGCCCAGCCCAGCCAGTGCGGAGGGCAGGGCCGCCAGGGACGAAGGGAAGCCCTTCGCCAGCCGTGTGAACAGATCCATCCATTCACCAAGCCCTCCGCCGTACTCCATCCTCTCGTCTTTGTTGCACTTTGGTGGGATAATTTTTTAATCAACAAAAAAGAATGCATTTTTATTTTAATTTATTATTTCGTGTCTCTGCATTTGCTGGGCCTGTGTACATACTCTGATGTCATAGATAGCAAGCAGCTGTAGTGTGTGTTGCTGTGCCGTGAATAAAAATAACCTGGGTTGGAAGTGCAAGGCCTGGTTGTAGCTGGCTCACCTGCAGAAGGGCCCCTTTACTGGACCTGGTCGTCTCCCCGGCATTTGGCTCCGTTCTGGACAGCTACCCGAACCTTTAGACACAGAGGTCCAGGAAAGCTGCTGGATTCTGATGGGAATGAGGGTGTCCTTCTGGGCCACGCCAGCATATTCCCTTCCTGGGATGTGCTCCAGTTGTGGCCGTGGCTCCTGACTCTTTCTCTTCTGTGCCCAGAAGCCCCCGCAGGAAGGTTCTGCAGGAAGAGGCATGCTGGGGGTCGTGGAATGGAGAAGCCAAACCACTGGCAGCTGCCTTGTTCTCCAGTTCCTGGTGTGTCCATCAGATCCTAAAGTTTGGGTCAGCAAAAATCCTTTAGGCAGGAGCTGCCCTCCTGCTGGCATCCGTGGGTTGGGACTAGCATGGTGCAGTTTCCCCCCCCCCCAACTAGGGGACCTCTGTCCCTTCAGGGAAGCCCCCCCCCCGGGATCTGCTTGAAGGAGGCTGGGGGCAGCAGCCCCATGTGAGGCCCCTGAACCGTGCTGCTTCTTGCTTGGCGGGCAGGAGTTTCTGCAGCAGAGGCCCGGCTGGCTCGCCCTGTGGAGGCGTTGGTTGGTCCAGAAGCCCTCCGCCATGAGCCCCTGCTGCGCCCTGCCCAGCCTCACTCTGCGAGGCACCCGGGGAAGGAGGAACCGGCCCTCCGGTGCAGTCCCACCCCCTGCTGCCCTGCTCTGCAAAGGGAGGAAGCGCTGGGGCTTCTGTGGGAGCAGTGCGGACCTCCCTGCAAGCGCCTATCAGGAGCCTAGCTGCCCCGTTAGCAGCTTTTGGGCGCTTGGAGATGCAGCCAGGAAGGGGCCCTGCAGAGCCTTCTTTCCTGGGAGGGCTGAGCCCAACGCCTGCAGAGAAAGGGGTGCGGTGCCTGCCTCTCAGCCCACCCCCCATTAGAACAAAGAAAGAGGGAGGTCTCCCTGCCAGCCTCGAGATGGATCTGTGGGAGCAGGACAAGGGGGGTGGGGGAAGGTTATCCCTTGTGAGGCAGTCAACTCCCAGATGTGGAAACCAGATGGGGGGGGGCGAGAGGGAAGATGCTGGCAGCTCTGGCCATAAACGGAGGCGCCTCCTGGGGCCCAGAGGGTATCTGGTAAGGTTAACCAGGAAGAGCTTGGGCCTGTTGTCCTTGGGGAAGAGGGGGTGAGATGGGGGCTGGCTGTGTCTTAGCTGGCTTCATCTGAGGTGAGAGATGGGCCTTGTTGCCGAAGGTCTGAAGGGGCTTCCATATGGTCTCTCCTCTAAGACCCCTGGGATTCAAGGTGCCAGGCAACTACCATCCATGGTCCAAGCTTTCTCTTTGGGGCCGGAGCTACAAAGCATCTGGAAGAATCAGAGCTCTTTCCATTCAGGATGCATTTAGGACATGGGACGGAAATCATGTTCTTACTCTAATCAATTGCAGAATAACCAAAGTTGGAAGGGACCTTGGAGGTCTTCTAGTCCAACTCTCTGCTCAAGAAGAAGACCCTATACCATTTCAGACAAGAGTCTGTCCAGTCTCTTCTTAAAAAGCCTCCAGTGATGAAGCACCCAGAAATTCTGGTGGCAAGCTGTTCTACTGATTAATTGTCCTCACGGTCAGAAATTTCTCCTTGGTTCCAGGTTACTTCTCTCCTTGACTAGTTTCCATCTGTTGTTTCCTGTCCTCCCTTCAGGGGCTTTGGAGAATAGGTGGACCCCCTCTTTTACCTTTTCTTGAATCAGGACTTACGTAAGGGATTGTGACCATACCTGTCCAGTTGGTTCTCCCAAGGGCTGAGAATACTTTTCTTCTGGACCACCAGTGAGGGTGAGAACTAGAGCCCCCATTCTGTGGGGGTGCAAATTCCTCCTGACTGGTTACTTCCAAAGGCCGGGGCACATCAACACGGGGTGCTCGAGGGCTTAACCTTTTCCTCCACCTTATTTAGCACCTATAGGAAACCACTAGGAGGCCTTACTTGACCTTTGAGTTACAATATCAGCAAGTAGACGTCAGCCGGCTGTACATCTTGGTCCCTGATTTAATGGAAGCTGTAAGCACCTAGGTGGAAAAGATGGAGGAGCTAATAGGGAAGGCAAGCAATTCTGGAAGGGCATTAGCTCTGCTCCTTCTGCTCTCCCAGAAGGGTTTGGAGCAGCGTGTCCTCCAGAACAAGACCCATGCCCTTGTGCATTGACTAACTACTGCAATTCATTCTATACTGCACTACCCTTGGAGACCACGGAGAACCTTTGGCTGGTATAACAGGTGGCTGCCCAGGTGCTAACAGGACATCCCAGGCTGTCCTATGACAGCAGGGCCAGCTTGCTTCTGGGTGCAGTAAAGGTGTGGATGATGGTTCAGAACCAGATTCCACTGGGTAGCACCTGGCCAGCTACCCAAGGCACACAGGAGCCCCACTTCCTGCCAGGGACAGCAGGAGGGGACTCCAAAGTGGGCCTCTCTTCCGGAACTCAGCCCGGTGGGAGAGGCCGTCTCTGCAGCTTAAGGGGAGCTTGCTGGCTGCTGCCCTTCAGAAGGCCTGCACAGAAGTGGCTGGATTTGAGGATGGAAGAATTGAAGATGGAGGCATTTCGCCCCTCGCATATTGATTTGCTGTTATTATTGCGCTGAAATTATGTGCTGGTGTTTTTCTGCATCTCTTTCTTGTCTGTGAGCTTGATTGGCATTTGCCGTGAGCTGCTTGCTACGTTTCCTTGATAGAAGCGGCAGAAAAGCCCTCTGGCTCGCGTAGTAAATAAATCCTGACGTGTCACTTCAGCAAAATTTGCCAGTGTGACCACAGGTTGGTATTTGGGGCACCTCAACCTTTTTCCTCAAATGGGCACCAGGTTAGAGAAGGGGGCAAATCAAGTTCCCAGCTGGGTGGTGCCCCTCGTGTGGGACAGGAGTGACCTTGGGGCATGGCTGGGCCAACCTCTGGCAGAGAAGAGAGAGTGGTCAGCAGCACTGCAGCCTGTTGACTTTGGAGGGACAGGACTAGATCAGGTGCACCTTGGGCTGATCCAGGAGAGTTCTGAGGCGCCCTCTGAGCTTCTTTTCCTGCAGATGTTACATGACGCAAACTAGGTAACGCCATCAGTGCTAGAAGGGAAGGGGGGTTGTGCAAAGGAGGAGGAGGAGGAGGAGCTCGGGCTATGGGCTCCTTGATGCTCTCTCAGCCTGGCTGTTTTTTTGCATTGTTTTCATTATCCAACCTACACACGTTCTACAAACATCCTTCATTGGCAGGAGAGATCTCCGGAACACAGCTCCCTCTAGATAGCGAGGCGGGCAGCATGTACATTTAATAAACAAACAAATAAAATATAATAAAGGTGTCCTATAAAATACCAAGCCACAGATGCAGATGAGCAGTTTTAGGTGTGCTTTTATTCTAGAGTTTAGAAGTGTTACATAAAGTGTCATGATCAATAAATCTACTGAGGAAGTTAAAAAAGGCCTCTGAGCATTTTGCGGTGGGCTCACCCAGGCAGAGGTATCTGTGCTCAGAGCGTGAGGTCGCTGGAAGACAAACGATGGCCACCCCCCTCCATCGCCACTGGGTGACCCCTCGGGGGCTCAGGAGAGCCATAAGGTGCATTGAGATCAGTGCGGGTGCCGAGGGCCGCAGGGGAGGCGCAGGGCAGACCCCTTGTGGCTCCCTGCCAAAGGCAGCTGAGCCCTGGGCCGTGCCCAGCCAGGACAGAGCCTGCCCTCAGCAGTTTTGCCACCCACCCGGAGGGCTTTCACAGTACAAAGCTTGGCAACGTCGTTCAGGGGCTGAACTACTGCCCAGCTGCTCAAAAGCACAGCCCCCCCCAACAGTAAATGCATTTGTGTGACCCTGTAGAAATTAGAACAAGGATTTCACTGGGGTTAGAGTTGCAAGATATGAAAATAACACTAATTACATTTTAATTCCTGTATTCTAGTCCTTAAACTGCACAAGCAGAACTGCCCACAGCCTCTGACTGGGCTAAGTGGCAACACAGCCTTAAGTGAGTTTTCACACACACACACACACACACACACACTCCAGCACACCTGACTCCCTGGCGATCGAGACCCACTGAAGATCCCTGATTTAACCTGGATGAGACCACTCCCCACAGAAGTCAAGAGGGAGGTGTGTACAATCTGTCCAGGTTGGAGGTGAATTGCTTGGATCTGTGGCTGGGTGGATTCTTCCCGGCCAAGAGACCACATGGCGTGGCAATTCTGTGGCAAACCAGCCCTTCCTTAGCTGCTGGCCTCACCCCTCCTGCAACAGGGCTCCCTCCAGCTGCTCTCTGGGCCCAGCCTCTTTGCCAGGGGATGGACTGGCTGTGGAACACGGGCCACGCAGGTGCCCCGGCCAGGTGTTGCAGCTCTGAGGGAGGGGGACACGTGGAGGACCCTCTCCCCTCCCAAGAAAGGGCAGGGCAGATCCCCTGGCCTCCTATGGTCCTGCTTAAAGGGCTGCCCCCTCTGCTCCCCATAGAGAAGCCGAAAGCCAGACCCTGGAGGCTCTTGGTGGGCCGCGACCCTCGCCGGCTCCACCTTCCACTGCCGCGGGTGGGGGCAGCCTCAGCTCCCTCTTTCTGTTTCATTGCAGCCCTCATTATTCCTTAATTAACATACCCAACAAATCAATTAACTACTCAGTTCCTAATTAAAAGCTACAAGAGAGGATCCTCTCATTACTATTAGCTGCTGAGGTGAGCATCAGCCAGCCTGCCTGCCTCTCCTCCGCGTCCCAATTACGGGAAGGCAGAACCGCGAAGGCTGCCGCAGCTCCCTTTGTGCTTTTGGAGCGGCGGCTCAATTAATTCGCCACCAGGCCGGCGGGTTGCGGGGGACAGAAGCCGGGGGGGGGGCATCTGGGTGCAAAGACCCAACCAGGCGCCCTCCAGGCCTCTTCCCAGGAAAAGGTGGGGGGGGCAGCGGCTTTGGAGCAAGTGGCGCTAAAAGCATCCTTGGAATCCTTGCGGGGGGGCCCCCGGGGGTGTTTGTTAAAACAATCTGCTCAGATCAAGGTGGAGCCCCTCCCGCTGGCTGAGCGAAAGCCCCCGACGGGCTTGGATTTCACGACCAAAACATGTCCTTGGGCAAGGGGGGAGGCTGCACCCCCACCCCACCTCCAGGCAACGGAGAGAGGCATTTCCTGCTTCAGCCCCAGGTGGGAGATTGAGGTGCAGGGTCTGAGCACCCTGGTTTCCCTTTGGGGGGGGCTTCGGAGGAGCTGCCCTTTGGGGCACTTTCCCCACCGACAAGTCTGGACGCTCCCCATAACTCTGAAGAGGCTTGGCTTCGCCCCACTGCCCCAAATCCTTTGGGAAGACAAAATCCAATTTCACCCAGCCCCAGACTAACCGGGCAGGGGTCCAGGGAGTGCAAAGAGGGTCTGGGGAGGGCTGGGAGCCTATTGGCCCTGCCACTTCCACCAGCAAGGTTTGCTCTGGCCGGAGGCACCATCCCAGCCCCCACAAGGCACAAGGGCTGCGTTCACACGTTCAGGGTTGGCCCAATACACTGACCTGAAACTTAATCTCATTACCTGAGTTTCCACAACACAAGACCCAAAACAACAGCAGCAACTGACAGGGAGGGAGGGAGGGAGGCTAAGGGTAATGAATGCTGCAGAGAAACTCACTCAGCTCAGCCGCTGGCTCTGCCAGTCGTCTGATTAAGCATGCTGTGTGAGCTGAACTGGCACTTCCTGTGGCACTTGGCTGCGAAAGCTTTCTTTCTTTCTTTCTCTTTCTTTTCCTTCCTTCTTTTCTTTCTTTCCTAATCAACCAACCAACCGGCTTTGGCAGTGGGCCTCGGACACCAAGTGCCACATCCAGCCGACAGTCGAAAAGTCCCAGGAAAGCAGAAGTGCTGGTCAGTCCTCTGAAAATTAAAGGAGCAGGCAAAGGTCAGCCCCCCCCCAAGGAAGGGGTCAGTCAGAGAAACCCCCTCCTTGAAGGGCTCCCAAGGCTGCAACCAGCACTGCCTGTTGGGTCCCTGCAGGAGCCGAGACGCGGGGGGGGGGGGGGGGGGCTGGGGCCTCTCAGGGGGAGCCGAAACAAGTATTTCAGGGGTTGGGGGGGGGAAGCAGGCCGTGGGTAGAACCAGCCTCGTTCAGCCCCCCAACCTCTAAAGCTCTGATTGCTGCTACCCCACATTCTGGCCCCCAGTATGCTGCCTCCTCACCTGCTTATGTCTCCACCCCAAGACCTTCCCCCTGGGGGGGATGCAGTAGGAAGGGAAGAGCCCTGCTGGGCCTCAGTCCCACGGCTGGCCCCATAAAGAGGTCCTCTGCCTTCGGTGGAAAGGGTCACTGCAGAGAGGGTCCCTCTCCACTGTGGGAGTCTGCAAGCCAAAAAATCCAGGGGGCCCAGCACAGAAAGAAGGGTGACTCCAGCAGCCTCTCCAGGAGCTCACACGTCCAATGTCCCTCCCGAGGGCTGCAGGAGGCGGCTGGGCACAGGGAAAAGGGGGTGGGGTGCTGGCGGTTGTGGGGGAGGAGCAAGGAAGAGGGCCCAGGAGACCCTCTGAGAAGGGCTTGGAATTAAAGTGAGCCCCACAGCTCTGGCCAAGCTGGAGGAGGCCTCCCTCATGTCTACACAGCTCAAGGACTGAAAGGCCTCCTACTCCAGCCTGAAAGGGGGAGCAGTCCCCCTCCCTACGTTCTGCAGCTGCTCCAGCTGATTCCCCCTCCCCAAATTGTCTGGGACTGCAGCTCCCTGTGTGGCCATGGGACCCCGAAAGCTGCATTCCCACACATCTGGTGGGAGGGGGCTTGCCAGCCTGGCCTGGAGCTCAGCAGAGCCAGAGGAAGCCAGACTTTCCACCAGCCCCCCCCCCAGTTCCTTCCTTCCCCCCCCCTTTCTCTTTGTGCTGTTACTGTCGCTAATTGAGAATTTTAAATATTAATCTTTTCGACCAACGTGAGATACCGGGTCTCGGAAAGTGCTAATTTACACTCCATTCTTGACGGAGGGAAGATGTTACAAGCCGCAGCTTTGTCGTCTTCTCCTTCCTATTGTATTCCGCCCCCTCCCCAACCGCCCCCTCCTCCCTTCACGCCTCTCCGTGCCGCTGCTGCGCTGCTGTCTCGGGCGCCCAGGGCTGGGCTGGCTTCCGCTTACAGCCCTTTGTTGTAGGTGACGGTCAGGCTGGTGGTGGCGCGGGCGATCTCCGGCTCCAAACGGGCGGCCTCGATCTGCCAAGAAGAAGGCAGGAAAACTGGGTCAGAAGAAGAGCAAGCCGGCTCCGGCATGGGCCACGAGAGCGGCCAGGGGCTGCTGGCAGGGGCCGAAAGGACGAGAGGCTCTGCGGACGGTTCCAGCCCAGCCCACTTGAATCTCCTCTGCTCACACCGGTTGGTTCTGAGGGGCTGCTTGGAGCATCTGAGGCCCAAGAGCCCTGAAGACAACCGGGCGCCTTTTGATGCCAGGTATCCCCACTTCAAGCAAGCAACCTGAGCGGAGGCTTTGTCCTCACTGTCAAAACTCTCTTGAACAGATGTTCCTTCCAGGAGGCCAGGCGGCTTCTGAAGGCTCAGCGGAGCCTATCTGGGCCCCTCTTGAAAGCTCCCCGTAATTCTGCCAGCTCTTGCCAGGCTCTGGGCGTGTTGGGGCTGTTGTTATCTGTGGGGCATTCGCATCGTCACAGGATGCTTTGGGGCCTGGAAGGCCGAAAGGCGCCCAGCAACCAGCCCCGGCATCTCCTGGGGGGTGGGGGGGGGAAGGTGCAGGGGACTTCTTGGCTCTGGAGCCTCCTTCCCCAGGGAGACGGGGCAGGAGCCACTGTGTGTGCAGACAGACTACAGCAGCAAAGCTACCAACCCCCCCCCTGCCAGCATAAGCAGAGGCCCAGCAACCCACCCGTTCATGTCACACAAGGAAGGAGGAAAGCTGCCCTGATTAGCAACAGCAAAAGCGCTGAGACTTATATGCCGCTTCGTAGTGCTTTACGGCTCTAGCCGAGCGGTCTGAGTGATACACATTTTAATTCATTACTGCCCCCCCCCCACCAAGTTACACGAGTTGTAAGTGGAGTCTGTTAGTATACAGAGAGTTCTGCAGGAGCCCCCAGGGATTTTCGTCGTGGCCCAAGCCCTGGACTTGGATGGCCAAAGCCTACCCCATCAGTGGCCTCCTAGGGTGACACACACACACACACACACACACACACACGGTCTTGCCAGGCATGACGGATCACCAGTTCAACACACACACACACCCCAATTTCAGCGGCTGCCTTTGGCTGGCTGTCTCTTGGAGGGACAGGTGGGAAACAGAGAAAGTGGGAAGAATCACAACAGCACAGCTGCGATGCTGAGCCCAGAGGAAATGGCTGAAAGCGAAGGAGGGCGAGGGGGGGGGGGATAGGGAGGTTCAACTGTGGGTGAGAGGGGCCCAGGATGCAGAGACCGGCCCCTCCCGGCCTACAAGCCACGACTGGGCCCCAAAGGCTCTGCTGCTGTGTCCAGACTGGGCTCCCTCTGGCCTCCTGTCTTTGGGGACTCCGGGAGAGGCAGGGTCCAAGGAAGCCCACCTCTTCTCCTGGAACGGAGGGCCCCATCGCCCCCTCTGGGGCCAGCCCCACCCTAAACAAGTTTGGCCCCTTACCCTTCCAGACCCCATACCTGCCCTTCCTTCTCACATGTATGTATGTTCTCGGTGCCACAGCATGTATGTTGTCAGTGTCACAACATCCCACACTGGACGTTCCTTGCAAGCCGCCTCTAAGCGGAGCAAAGGCAGGCGCTGCCCCTCTGCTCCCCATGCCAAGGGGGTTTTGCTTCCCTCGGCATGTCCTTCCCTGCTTTCAAAGGCCTTCCAGGCACCCCAAATGCCCCAGGCCTCCATCACAGGCAGCAACTGTGCCCCATTTTAGTCGGCTCCAAGACCGCAGGTGGGTCCAGCACAGAGGATTTTTAAAGGACGAAATGGGTTCGCAAGACTTAAGGGAGCGGAATGCCTCTTTTCATCCCCTCCAGCCCCCCCTCCGCCCCCCGGGGCTTTTCTAAGACTCTGAAGACATGGCAGCCCCCCCCCCCCCCCCCCAGGGCTGAGGGAACTCATCTCCGGGAGGGGTCCCAGTGGTGCCCTCCCCTGCCGGTCGGTTCTGTTGGCTTTGGATACGGGTTGCTTTTATGATTCCTGCAAGATGAGTGGCTATGTAAGTTGAAGAAGTAAATAGAATAAATACTGGCCCCCAGTACTGAAACCTTCTTTTGGTCCCGCAGGCTCTGGAGTGGCACAAGGGGTACAAGGGCCTGAAGCCCCCCTTCTCGGCACCCTGGAAGGGGCAGAAGGACCCAGGTCTTTCCTTCGGAGGCTCACCCATCCGAAGCAGGACACTTGCTGTGCTCCTTCAAAATTATTATTTTATATCTTTAAAATGGTCTCTACGGGTGGCAGTGCCAAGGCTGACACAAGAATGCTAGGAACCTACATGGGAAACCTAAAAGCTTTTGAAAATGTTTAACCTAGTTAGACAAATTAGCAAAAATTTGTGCAAAACAATTTAGGTATTTAAAATATTCAATGTTTTTAAAAACTGGAAAAACTGTTCTTAGCTTTCAGCTGCAGAAACCCAACAAAATATAACATCCAAGAAATCTTAACATGAGGTGCAACATAACCCTTCACCAAAGCTGTTAAACAGTTCCTGGTGCATCCTGGGAAATAGCACTTCATTTATTCAAATGCACATATGTCAGGTTTTTGCACCATATGTCATTCCAAGCTATTTACAGTAATAATTAAATCTTAATCAACGTTTAACCTCTGTAAAATGTTTGAAGGGATCTAATCACCCTTCAGTCTGCACTAATGAAGCAGAAATATATAAACATAAAAAGAAAATGATATACACCAGAAAGAAGAAGTAATTGCAAAATTGTATTTCTTTTAAATATCATCAGCAAGTTATGTAAAGGAAGCCGACGGGTATTTTAAGTGAAGACATCTTGGGTGTCAGAGGTGTGAGTAGCTAATTTTGTACTGCTATCCATAGCAGATGTAGCATATTTTCTCTTAGAGCCATTATTAGCAACTTCACCATTTCTTTTCTTATTTAAACACAAAGCAGAACGCGGAAAGGGGGACGCGGAGCATCCTGCGAGGGAAGGGTGGGGCTGGCTGACGTGGAGGGGAGCCACCGTGCCAGCCGCTGGAAGGCGTGGGCCCGCTGAGCCCCTTTGTTGGACCCACCAAGCCCAGCTTCCTCTTGGCAAAGCCATGGAGGCCACCTCCAGCTTGGCACCACCTTGCCCTGTTCACTTCCAAGGGGCCGGCGAGGCTGAGTCCAGGCAGCAGCTGCGCCTGGCACCAATGGACGCTGGCTCGTACCACAGATATGCAGAGAGATGGCTGCCCGGCCTCTGCTTGCAGGGCAACCCACCACTCTCTGGGTCGCTGATTCCCTTGGTGAGCGGGTCTTTGTGTGAGGAAGGTCGGCAGGTCCTACCCTCTGAAAGTGGGCTGAAGAGACTTTGGCTTCCTCTGATGAGTCCTGTGCCACCCGGCCATTTCCAAGGCTGTCTCTCTCTGTGTAGGATGTTCTCCAGATCTTCCTCTTCTTCATCTGTGAATCCCTTCCAGTTTCTCTACATCCTTCCTACAAGGGTGGGCTCCTCCATGTTGAACCCCACAACCCTAGAGCAATATAGGAAACCAATGCAAAATTGCCTGGCCTATTCTTGCCACCGGACCTGTTGACTTACATTCAGTGTATAATCAGCTCTAAGACTTTTTACACAATTAAATCCTCCGTTCAATACTCGGCGTTTCACTTCTGCTTCGTAAGTGGAAGATCTTTGCACAACAGGTAGCCACTAATTTGAAGCTCGATGCTTTGATCTCTTGAGAACATTCTGAGGTTGTTGGTTTTTTTTAAAGCTATTCGTCTGAACTGGAGACGTGTGCTTCCCACTCCTCATTGATGTCATAATAAACCGCATCTTTAGCTTTTTCACCCAAAACTCACTCCTACGATAAGGAATGACTGAAAAGCATGATTTGGGGACAATTCTTGGACCAGACTTCAAACCGCTTTTAGATCATGCTATCCAGCCCCAAATGGACTGGCATTGCCACAAGGGACGGTGGGAACTGCTCTGTTGGAACCAGACATATTACGCTCACAGCATTTCCACAATCAATTAAGAACCCATTCAATCAAATAATGAGATCAGGATGTGCTGGCAAGACTGTTTATCCATTTTGGAAAGAAGTACTACATAAACACAATTCATCTTTATTTTAAAAACCCGAAAAATAGGTATCAAGTTAAGTGGGCCTCTGCATGGCCTATAAAGAATAAATTGTATAATTAATGCAATCTTAATTATGGCGTGTTTGAACCTGAAGATATAATAGTAAGTCTAGTGGTGCTTAAGAATTTCTGAATTTGAGCTCTCAATATTTCTGCATAAAACCTGATCTGTTCTCCATACAAGTCCTCAAATTGGATAAAGAGTACCCCATCAAAGAAATGATTCAAAAACAATATACTTGTTCATTGATTTCTGTTTTTCACTCCTGTGTTTAATTAAGTTCTTTTTATCTAGTTTGAGGACTTATGTGGAAAACAGATAACATTTTAGCTCATGTTTATGGAGAAATATTGAAAATTCCTAAAGGGTCACAAATGCCTATGAAGGTCTCCAGTCATCCAGACTCTTAAGTACATTATAAATGTGTCTTTAATGCAAAAGGGGGGGAGGGAAGTGTGGTTCTTGACAAATCTACACAGATTTCCGGCAAGCATCACGTTATTTTTAATGGAATTGCAGAGTAGCTGCACCCCAATCTGCTGCACAAGCGTTCCAGGCCCTGCTCTCTGCAGTTCCCCAAATCTTCTGTGGAAGGGGAGGGTCTCCCACGCCTTCCCGCCCTTGTCTGCCCCTTTGTGAGGCTCCTCCAAGTCCAGCTGCTCATTCCTGCAGCACCCTGAAGGTTGAAACTCATGGGAGTGAATAGGGATGCCCCAGGCGTACTTCCTATCGGTCTCGGGTTGAATCCTGCCCCTCTTTGTGGTTGTCTGGTGGAGCAGCTCAGCCTTTTCTCTGATCCCTGGAAGAATTTCCAAAAGAGGCTTTGAAGATCATCTAGACTGAGCAAAAGGCCCTGTATTTCAAGTCCTCTGCTGAAGGAGAGCTCCATCTGCAGCTCATTTGTTAATGAGCTGCATCTTGCCGTTCATTTGTTA